ATTTACGGGACCCACAGATTTAATGTTCCTCATATTAAATTGGCATATTTACAAATACAAATTCAATGGGTATGTCGAAAAAATGTATCGACAAATAGTCGTACATAAAGACAATCAAGATTTCAGCGAATTATTTTCCGAAAATCTGCCAATAGTCCACTACGCGACTTTTAATTAAAAACAGTAACCTTTGGCGTAAACTGAGCTCTATACTTAGCCATTCGTACACTCCACGAACTGGCAGAAAACACAAAGAAGTCAGAATTTCCTCTGGCAACACAAGTGCTAAAAACACAGACGTATGTAGACGATATGCTGTCTGAAAGCCACAGTCTTCCACTAGCATACGATACCTTATCGCAGGTAATAAATAAATTAAAAAAGATTACAACCATTCACCCAGATATTTTGAAAAATATTCCTAATAAACATTTGTTGGATACTTATTTCCTTATATTCGAAAAGGAAAGTACAACAAAAACACTAGGCATCCAATGGAATGCGATATCTGACCAGTTTTCATATACTACAGAGTCAATATCCGTATTATCCGCCATAACAAAGAGACTAATTTTATCACTTTTCGACCCCGCAGGTTGTCTTTCGCCAATTATGATACAAGCGAAAATCCTGATTCAAGAATTATGGCTAGACGGAACCGACTGGGACGAACAAGTGAAGACTCTTCGCTTAGAAAAGTGGTCCCAGATTGCACACACCAAACGATATTGCAACCACAAGAAACCTATTGGCGACAAAAGTAAAAGTCGCACCTCTAAAAACGAAAAGTCTACCACGACTTGAGCTCTGTGGCGCTCTGCTACTAGCAAAGCTAGTTTCCATGGTGTAGACCCACCTATTACACTATAATGAAGGATACGGATCCTTGAAAGATTTTCATCGTTCCCCCTAGCACTCAGATTATTCGCCTTTATTCTCAAATTCGCAGAGCGAGTCAAACTTAAGGTAAAGGGAGCAACTTACCCTCAAAGCGATACATTGACGCATAAAGCCTTGCAAAAAGCAAAGGTCGCTTTTATCGCATCAACCCAAATGCGCTACTTCAGCCGTGACCTGTTGTTACTAAGAGAATCGAAGCCCATTGATAAAAAGAGCTCACTCTTAGTACTAAACCCATTTATAGACACGAAAGGTCTGCTGGGTTCAAACGGCCGGCTTGCTAATTCATGCGAACGCCATCGCATAACAATACCAGAGAAATCCTCATTTGCCACATTATTCATCAATTACGCCAAAAGTCCCCGTCTTAAGCTCCAAATCAAGAAGTGAACTTTCACATACAAGGTCTGCACATGCAGAAAATGAGAACGCCGATTTCAGCACTTCCACCTGAATGCACTGCAATTTCACTCTGCCTTTCACCACCACACTCGACTTTGCTGGGCCTTTCAAATAAAGGCGTCCATTCTAAGGTCTCCCACCCTGATGAAAGGCTATGTGGCTGTCTTTGTCTGTTTTACGACAAAAGCAGTACAACTTGAGCTATGTACCAATCTGACAAGGAGGCTTTTCTCGCGGCATTTGCTCGTTTCGTCGGAAGACGTTGCTTTCCATCCAAAATCATGAGCGATATGGTAAAACATTTATCGGAGCTCAGTGAGCCACAGGAAAAAAATGGATTTATGAAACAAGTTTCACCTAACATTGCTCCCCAAGGTATCAATTGGCAGTTTATCCCCCCAAAGCGCCCGACATATGGGTGGTTAATAGGAATCAGCCGTAAAAAGCTTAAAATGACATTTCAAGAAGCTAGCTGGCACTTATAAATTTAATTATAAAGAATTTACGACATTGTTAACCAGAATTGAAGCCGTTCTCAACTCTCGGCCTCTCGCTGCCATCAGACTTTACAGCCCTCACGCCAGGGCATTTTCTTAAAGGAGCGCCCATTCTGGCCACACCCTAATTAAACAGATGGGAAAGGAAAGGATTAAAATTCTCCATCATGAGAATACAATGTGCAGCACGTGCAAATCTGACGCTGGTAGCAGCAGACCCGTAGTGCCCCCAAGCCCGCTTTGCCGTCGCCCCCACAGGTTGCCGCACTACTGCATATTTAAGAAGATACTGCCTCAGCTACTGCAGTAGACGTCGTGATATGCGTGCCAAATATGCATGCGGCCGCATCACACACTCCTTCATCGAATCGGGTGCGGCTGTTCCGGGGCAAACGGCCGTTGGTTTTAAACGTGAAACGTCTAGCGAATCCCTTTTAGGGTAAAAGATTGAAATGAAAACAAGATTGACGCTGTTTTAAGAATTTTCATTCATCACAAACGCTGTAAGATAAAACAAACGGATTGGTTTCAAATACCGTTTTTAAGCGTTTGTCCGCTGAAGGCCAATGATTTTACATTGCCTCACTTCTTTTGTCATCTCTCAGTTCGGTGGCAGATCCAGTACATATATCAATCGTGTGTTCATTCGTTACGTTCATAAGTATAGGTATTTCAGTGGTAGAGGTAGCTTTGCGACGTTGCCGAAACCGTCTCGCTCGTTCGGCGCCGGACATTGGGATATCTTTGCGCGGCCCATAGCCCTCTACTTGTATCGATAGCCGAAATTTATATTTCTGGCTGTCTCTTGCACGTGCTGAGGCCGGCATAGCAAAAGTTTATATATTTATTATCACTTTCTGGTTATTTTAAATATAAATACTGTCCAAATTACACTTATTTTTGTATCAATCAATCGGTTTAAATAAACTTGACAAATACACGAAAGAATCACCGCGCTACAAATTCGGAGTCACGAGTTACACTGAATAGAAACAAGCGCGAGCGCCGGTTTCCCACAGTTAACGTAGTATAAATGGTTGTTCTTTTTCTTGTTACCATATGCACGTGTACAAAATGCATGAACACATTTAAACTCGCCAGCCATCGGAATTAAGACAATAATAATGAATTTATTATTAATTTTAAGTTTTGTGAAAAGGCTTATCCAGTTTTTATAATATACAATAGAGAGATTCTCTTGCTCTTGCACGATTGTACGATTACAGAAATTGCCAATTCCGAAATTTTCAAGGCCAAGAGAGAACGGCTGATTCGGTCAATTTATTGAGTATGACTAGTGTGCATTACTATTGTGAATTGGCGCACATTCTGTATTCTTTCTTAAGGTAGGTGTCCTGCCCTTAAGTAATTGCTCAAGAAAAAAAAAAACATTTAGGCTGTTCACGGTAAGGTGGTTATCGGGTTATGTGGTTATTAGATTAAAAATAACCTCTATGATCCGTCAACATCCCATATTGTATGGTTATATGCTTATTTTKACACAAACAGCTGTTCATTGTTTACATTTTAAGTTCAATTAAATTTCTAGTTATAAAATGTCTAAAGAAAGTTTAAAAAGAATCATAATTGAATTTAAAATAAGTTCTGCTCTTCAGGAAATGGACTTTATTGAAGGTATGTGCTTATTAAATAATCCAAATTTTAAGAGTTCAAAAGATYCTTYGTAYAAAATTTGCAGACATCTTGCGCCCTGAACAGTGTCACAATGCAATTGTAAACAAAAAACAGCTGTTAATAGCAGAATTTCCAATTAGAAAATATAAATGGAAATTCCATTCGCTTAGTTTTATTTATTTTTTGTGCTGCCATTTAGTAAAACTCCAACGACTTTCTAACACTGGAAATAAGCAAACAACCATATAATCTGTAAACAAGGGTCAGGGTTGGTCAAAGTTGGTTATTTTGTCATACCACATTTTGTTGTTGTTTACTTCATCACATAACCACATAACCCGATAACCACCTTATCGTGAACAGCCTAATTATATCTAACTAACTTTGACAGCTGGTTACGCATTGTGAATGATCCACATTAAAAGAGCACGAGAGAAAAAACACAGAAAGTAAACTTTGTGTGTAATATGTATGTATGTCAGTGTGTAGTTACATAAATATTTTCATTGCGATTTAAGGAATGTGGGTGATGATTGGTAAGTTTAAGACGACATTTTAATATGAACTACATTACATAATAATGAGTTTAACTAATTTAGGACGAACTTAACGATTACTTTGAATTTCCTTCAAGACACCATTGTTGAATAATTGTTTCATCGAAAAATCAGGATTGCCAAATACACATTTTATTGAAGAAATGTATTAAATATTAGTACTAGATTTCTTTAGAGCTGCATAATAGCACAAAAAAATTTACCGCAGAAAATTTTCTTCAACTTTTTCTCTTAAGCTTCTTATTTATATCGAGTTTTTATATTAAGCTTTAACAGAAAACTGTAACAAAACTTTATAATTTAAGTAGAAATTATTAAATCTATTTAAAACTTACCTTCCTCAACAATTTAACGGCGAAATATGCCTTTATATAAAATGACAGCTAAAACATGGCTGCATAATATTTTAACGTGTCATTGCACGAAATCTGGCATATTTTACAGCCATTGTAAATAATTTTCCGCGTGTTTGTTGTTGTGACTTTGCACCAAGTCGATAGGTTTGCAAGAGTTTTGCAAGAGCAAGAGAACTCTCCTAATGTCAGGTAGCGCAGGGATGCGCAAAATTTTAGTTCTCAGAGTTATCAATGTGCGTACGAGGTCTAGAGAAATATCATTTGACGGAAAGGAGGGCATAAAAAGTTCAGAAAAAATACAAAAACATTCGTGCGAAACTTGGTGTTCATCGCAGTGTTAGAGATAAAGAGATCTTGAGCTTAGTCAACTAAGCAATTTCTAGATTGAATGGCTATCAAAAAAAAACAAAAAAAAGTACACGGATGGATGTGTTGACGCCATTCCAGACCACGAAAAAAAATATAAAACAATGAAAATCTATTCGATGAAACGTTTTGTTATTTTGCTCCTTTATCCGCACATACCCATTTTTGTTCTTACGTTTTCCCATTTGTTGAGGATATTTTATAGTACCCCTGTGAATACGTCTATTAAGGGTTTCGCCGAAAGTATTGTAACATTTACCAAATTCAAATTGATTTACTATCGATAGTCCGCTCGATAATTTTGTAACTCTATTTCCTTTCCTTATCGCGGTGGGTTAGACTTGACCTGTTAGTAACATTTATTTTAATTTATGTAATATTATAATTCGAGAAGATTAATTACATCTCTTATTTACTCCTGTTTCAACGATTGAATGTATTGAAATTTGGAACTGTACTTACAGCACTACATTACATTGTGAACGTGTTGTGTAACTTGGGATTTTTAATTGATCTTGCATTTTGTAAGTAGAAATGGCTCAAGAAAACGAATTGCCGAGCAAGGAAAGAGCGGTTTCAGGAGATGATATGTCGTTGACATCTACAGATAGGAGTAAAGTTTTAACCGAAAATATTCAATCGAATGGTATGTTAATCGGCTTTATGTAATATGTCTATTTTTAAAGCATTTCTTGACATGGGAGCGTAAAATTTCATAAGGGCCTAATAAATCCATTTTACTCCTTCTATTATTAGCACACATTATAGTTTAACGTAACCTGCAAGTCGCACGTGATTTAACACGTAACGTTTGAAATGAGACGCTATGTATTATCACCCATTTCGAACAAAGCATAAGATTTTTCTTCCTCTAAAATAAGCAAGATAAAATTTAACGAGAAGCTTATGGAGATATTCCTTGTTATTTGTTGTTTTTGAGTCTACTTTGAAGCTAAAAAATTGACGGCTTGTAAATAAATTAAGTGGGAAAACTCAGACTTTATAATACCTTCTCGTAATTCTGTGTAAAACCCCTATTTCGGGGTTAAGATAGATATGCGCTGATAGAGGATATTTTCCAGTTCAATAAAATCGAGACGTTGTGATCAGCTTAATCTCCGTAGAAATTGTTTAGATCGAATCACTGTAATATAAGTATAGTTGTCATAAAAACTGAAAGATCGGAGTCAAATGCTTGTATTGAAAGCTTTCTTCATTTGAAATCATTTTAAATTTGAAGAGCTTGAAGGGTTACGACAGCATATAGATGCCATTTAAACTGACAGATCAAAGTTCTTGTTATGAATCTATTGTTTAAGTTTCAGTTCAACCAAAATTAACGTTTTTCCTTGTTATACTCTCGCAACAAGTTGTTATAGAATATTAAAATTTTGTTCACCTAACGGTTGTACGTATCACCTAAAACTAAACGAGGTAGATATAGGGTTATATAGTATTGGAAAAAACTAAAGCACCTCTACTGTGTTTTTTATGCCTAAATTTTTGAAAAATGTAACATATATATGTCGGAGAAGGCTAAGGGTCGGCTTTAGTATACCATCCCAGGATTTCGGTAATAAAATGGGTACGGTCGGATAGAGGAGATTCTCCAGATCACGAATATATATGGTTATAGCCGCAGGAAGCTTGTAGTTTTCGAGATATTTGCGAGTAAAGTTGAAATTTTGCAATATTTTAATTACATATTTCCGGTATTTAAAATTAATTTTTCACTTAAATTTTTCAATTTTATATACACTAACACATCAATTATTCATTTGCACACATTTATTTTATATAATATAGTGCAAAAATTGCTTTTAATGTACATTTAAATTATTGTTGAAATATTATTGTTTAGAATAACAAATGAATTACAAACTGTCAAATAATCAGTGTTACCATACTAAAATATTTTACAAACTAAAACAAAAAAAAAATTATAAAGAAATATTATACCCTGAATATACATAATCGTTGATAAGCAATAAAAAATATGTAAAAAATTTAAGCGGTCTGATGGCCCCCAATGTAAAAATGTGTTCTACGGGAGCAAAAAAAATTTATACACCCAAAAAGGAGTTCTACGCGAAAAAAATTTGGTACACCCCGGTGTTGGACCGACCAGAGTTATTTTTTTTGAGGCGCGGCCGAAGGCCGCCCACGCCAAAAGGAGTTCTGCGCGAAAGAAATTTGGTACACCCCGGTGTTGGACCGACCAGAGTTATTTTTTTTGAAGCGCGGCCGAAGGCCGCCCACGCCAAAAGGAGTTCTGCGCGAAAAAAATTTGGTACACCCCGGTGTTGGACCGACCAGAGTTATTTTTTTTTGAAGAGCGGCCGAAGGCCGCCCACTCAGAAAGGAGTTCTACGCGAAAAAATCTGATACACCCCAGTGTTGGACGGACCAGAGTTATTCTTTTATAGGTTGTTGATTCTCGTATTTGGGGTATAATCTGTTCACTTTATTTCATTTAGTTATTTTACAAACGATGAGGTATGATAAGGTAACCCTGATTATTTGACACTTTGTAATTCATTTGTTATTCTTAAATAATCATATTTCAACAATAATTTAAATGTACATTAAAAGCAATTTTTGCACTATATTATATAAAATAAATGTGTGCAAATGAATAATTGATGTGTTAGTGTATATAAAATTGAAAAATTTAAGTGAAAAATTAATTTTAAATACCGGAAATATGTAATTAAAATATTGCAAAATTTCAACTTTAATCGCGAATATCTCGAAAACTATACGCTTCCTGCGGCTAAAACAATATATATTCGTGATCTGGAGAATCTCCTCTATCCGGCCATACCCATTTTGTTCTCGAAATCCTGGGACGGTATACTAAAGTCTTCCCGAAGGCTAATTTATTTCCATTTTCAACACGCCGCAAATTCTGTTCGTCTCGGTGGAGCAACATTAACTAACTCGCCACGCACATTCTAAACTATTTCACTTTTTTTTTGCAAATCATAATACCATCTCTTTTCTATGCCCCTACGAACAGACCTTATTCAACAGCAGAGTATGTTTTTTTTTAGCCGCTGGGCGTTCTGAGAACCGTTAGCGACATCGTGTCGCCATTCAAAAATGTACATGCACGCACAATGGTCCAACTAACCATTCTATGCCACACATATACAATGGGCTAATTTACCATTCTACGACACGGCCTTCCTGACAAATCACACGTCCTCGTGTGTTAGATCAAGGTGTGTTAGGACAAGATTTTCTCAGTTATCGTGAAATTTTATGAACCATTTAATTCATTAACTTTTATTTATATAAAGTTTAAATTTTTATCCAAAGCAATCAAATTGGTTTCATAATACCAACTTCTTCTTCTTAATTGGCTTAGACACCGCTTACGCGATTATAGCCGAGTTAACAACAGCGCGCCAGTCGTTTCTTCTTTTCGCTACGTGGCGCCAATTGGATATTCCAAGCGTAGCCA